AAGTTGGGTAGGTATGGAATGGGAGAGGATCAGAAAGGACTTGGGGGAGGGGAAGAATATGATGAAATATATTTAAATTTAAATTTTTTAAATAAGAAAAATATAAACAGTAGATAAAGGTGCTTACACCAAGCCTGATAACATGAGTTTGCTCCAAAGAACCAATATAATAGAAGGAGAGAAATGACCCCTGAGAGTTGTCTTCTAACTTCCAAATGCATACCACTCCATTCACACATCCCCCTCCCTAATAAACTAATGTTCATTTGTTAAAGTTTCTATTATAGTATTTTAGAATATGGAAACTTAAATAAGCTGTAGCACAGATTTGGCAGGGGGCTGTGCTTTAGATTGATAGTATTAGGTATACCTTTGTGGCCTGATGGTTTATGTATTTGTTTTGTAATATAAAATTTCAAACAAGTGCAAAAATAAGACATCAAAAGTGAATTTCCTGTAGTTATTACTGAGCTATAGAAATCTATAGCTAATCATAATTTATCTATGCTCTCAATTAGCTGTAACTTCCTCTCTGATGACAAATTGCAAGCCAGGCGTGGTGATGCATGTCTGTAATCCTCCTGCTACATAGTGAGTTTGAGGTCACCTCAGGTTACATGAGAATCTGTCTGAAAGCAGCAAAGACAAAATACAGCTAACAGTGTCTCCTGCTGTTGCCCACTTTCACCCCTTGAGAATACTCCATTTCGCTCTGTAGTAAACTGCATGTTATGTTCCTTGTGTCTTCTCTGGATACCTTTGGCAGAGACAGCCATGACTGAGAAGCCATGTGGAGAGTAGAACAAGTTCCTGGTAACAGATTTTGGTGTTTTAGTAGTTACAATTGGATTTTCTCTGTGTTCATTAAGGTATAAATGAAGTATACCTTCAAGTATATACATCAAGTATAAACTCCCACCCTTAGGATGAGATTGAGGAATTTTCTGATCCTTCAAGCCTACAACTTCCTTCCCTGTGTGCATTACTTTGCCTGACAACTGTATCACCTTTTGCTATTGATCAATTAATAGTTCTGCCTCCTTTGAATCCACGCTTACCTAACTCAGGTGCCTTTTGGAAAAGCTTGGTGACTATGCACATGTGGTACTTTTTTGATGCCACCATGATAAAACCAGTATGTTTCCTATGTGTTGGAGGTAAAACCAGACCGCAAACAGTAGATTCTTCTATTTTTGGCCATGTAATTTTCATAATGTACCAATTGGGTTTTGAAGGGAACTAAATAGTCCTTTGTAACCTCCAATTCACTGTGACCAGGCTAAGGCTTTCTTTTGAGGCTTCCTCCGGATCTCTCTTTATCCTTATAAAAAGGAGTTCATAATATATCTGAAATAGAAAAAAATCATTATTTCATTATGTATTAAAAAATCAAGGGCCAGTCAGTGGGTGGTGGCACACATCTCTAATCCCAGCACTCAGGAGGCAGAGGCAGGAAGATCTCTGTGAGTTCCAAGCCAGCCTGGTCTACAGAACAAGTTCCAGGACAGCCAGGGCTACACAGAGAAACCCTGTCTCAAATAAATAGATAGATTAATAGATAGATAGATAAATACATACATACATACATACGTAGAGATAAAAGATACAGATATAGATATAGAAAAAAGGTGACACTTGTAGAACTTGGTCTCCGGTGGCCAAGGCAACTCTAAAATGGGGGAAATGAGTGGGCCATATGACCCCAGACTGGTAAAGGATCCACCCTCATCATTCACTGGTAGAATTGACATTTGAGAAATGCCTTCTGAATGACCTCTTTGCCATTTTTATTCCTATTGATTGGCCTCTTGGATGTACACTTCATAATTTGGACATTTTTATAACCAAAAACTTAAAAAGAAAAGCATTTACCTAGTCTGACAAGTTGAATTTTAGACCTCTTTTGTAAATTGACTGGGCAATTAATGGAAAGAAAAAGACTCCAAGTAGCTCCAACAGTGGCCAGATGTTTAAGTTGGATGTGAGAGACGTGTGAGCAATGACTGCAAAGTTATACTTGAGTACATGCTCTAAGTGATGTGTTCTGCAAAAGATAAAAACTGACAGATGCATCTCTTTGGAGGTTTTTCTGTCTTCAAGAGGAAAGTTACACCAAGAATATTTTAAAGAAAAGCAAGACAGAAAGGTGCCAGCAAATGTGAGAAAGAGATAAAGAAGATTATGTGTATAGAAATTCATTTCTAGTTAAAAGAAAAGAAAAAAGAAAATGATTTTTAATTAAAAGGCACTCTCTATAGTGAGTTAGTCTTGTTATACAAATAAAAGTTTGTTCCAAAAATGGAACTAGAAAGTGTTAAGAATAAAAAAATATTAAAATGTGTCCTTAGAAGTTATTTTGAAGTTAAAAATGAAAGAAAGGTGACATGGCTGTAACTAAAGATTCCTAAAAATCCCTAAGGTTAAAAACTTAATACAATCATGTAAAACTAAAATGAAATTACTTATTTAAAAGGATAAGATTTTCTTAAAGTTTGATCTTTCAGTAACATTTATAGAAAACTGGTTTAGATAAAAATGATTTAATATTTTCCAAAAGTAATTGCTTATATTTTCTTCTGTTGGTCAGGCTTTTAACTACTTAGGAAACTGAGTCACAACAAGTCAAGATTCCTCTAAAATTCTACTTTTGTCAAGCTTTATCTAAATGTTATTCAGTTAAATTTTAAGCCTCTACTCATTCTTTATTGTTCTTCTGGACATCAAACGCCAACCTGGAGGCCAAAACTATGAAGATAGGCTAAGGAAGCAGCCAGTGTTTTGGCCACTACCTCAAGTCATCTAGGTCTCAGATAAAGACTCTTCCATTGCTGTTTGCAGCACACACACACAGTGGTTCATTTGACACCTTTTTCTGACTTCCAAGAACACCAGGCACAGCCATGTTACACATACATCCATGCTGGCAAAACACACATACACATAAAGTAAGTGAATTCCAGTAAACCATTTGCCTTCTTGTCAGAAGGGCTGTGAGACCCAGAAGTTGGACTATAACTTGTGTATATGCAGAGGAGCATCATCAAATAGTCATACCCTCAATGCTCCCAAGGAAGCCACATGGTCAACAAGGCTCTGCCACATTTCTGTAAGTAGCACAACTTGGAGAAGAAAAGCTAACAGAGCCCTGGGTCTTCTCCCAAGACCCCAGCAGTAACCACAAAGAAACCTCGAATGATCTTGACAGATTCATTTTTGGTCACCAACATGTTCTTAAACACACAGCAGAAAAACATATTCAAAGGATGAAATAACCATCAGCACTACAGAGCAGAAAGAGCTAAATTCTATGGTTTAAAAAGTTCTAACAAGGCTCCACACTAAACCCTAATTAAGAGCCACTGACAATAAGCAGGCCAAGCACAGCCATCCCAGCTACAGAGAAATGAAAGAACTCCTAGTACAAAAAAAAAAAATTTCCCCAGCCTAAAGCCCAAGGTTACTTCAACTCTAATCAGTAAAGTCCCATGCTATAGGTTTTTAACTCACTGCCAGTTACCTAATGAGGCATTGGCCAGGTAGTGGTGGTGCACTCCTTTAATCCCAGCACTAGGGAGGTGGAGATAGGAATATAAGGTGGGTAGAGACAGGATCTTGTGCCATTCAGTCTGAGGATTCATAAAGACAGGATCCTCCTTTCAATCTGAGATTTCATAGAGGTAAGAATTCTTTAGTGGCTGTGCTGCTTTGCTGATCTTTCAGCTTTCGCCCTAAAAAAAAAAAAATGACTCTTCAATTTTTTCCTCCTGAGATCTTTTCAAAGCAACAGTGGACCACCTTCTGTTTCCCAGTTCACTCAGTATGTAGTGAACTCTCTGAGAATCAGATGATGTCTCCATTCCTCTTGGAGAGCTCAGGCCTCTGGGAAAGTAGAATGTACCAACCAGTTCCTAATGTGCCAGGGTACTCAGCCTGACTTGCCGGCGGTATTACCAGTATCCCTCCTTGAAGTCCATGAAAGTTGGTGTTCAGCATCTGACCTAAGCCCTTTGGAAAGCTTTATAGGCACGTTTTCTATATTCAGATCTGTTCTGGAATGACAAACCCAACATTTCAGCCAATTTTCCCCTAGGCTCAATCAAGTCCAAAACCTATTTTTTTTAAATGGTTGTAGAAACTACATGGTATATGATAAATGGTAGCTAAACTGCCTCAGTTATTAGCAGAACAGATTAGCATAAGCACTCTAGAATTTCCTTGAATATAAGTAAGCAAGTAACAACTCTAGTTCATCCTGCTAAATTACCTGGGGCCAATATGATTTCCATTAGTTTTATCATCCATCTAGTTTTCATTTTTATTCTGTTTGTAGGACTAGACAATACCACTTGGCATAGTTAAGCTCTTTCTAAATATCTGTAGTTGAAGTTGGAGAGATGACTTAGTGATTGTGACTGAGTCATGCTCTTAAAGAGGAGTCCAACTCAGTCCTCAGTCCCTACATTCAGAGACGTATACCCATTCTGCACCTCAAGAGGAATCTGACACTTCTGGCCTGTGTGGTCATATGTGCTTACATGCATATCCCTACATAAAAACACAAATACATATGCATAATTTTTATATTCATAAGGCTTTAAATGTCAAAACCCATGGAATTTCTCTTTTATTTCTGAAGTCTAGAAAGTAATACCAATACTAATAATGTACTTATATAAAGCCATATGACTTCAGATATTTATTCTTATGGCTATTAAAGGGGGTATTTGTGTAATTATCAAGGTTATATGATGTACATAAATTCCTGATAATTCCACTAATATCTCATTTGCTTTAAATGATCAACAAGTCAGATTCAAACTGTGATAGATACCACCATCTCTTTTGGCAAATATCTTTGGAATGGGATCTTTAGGTTTTCATGATGGAAATGGCTTGTATCTATTATAATCTTAATGGTGATTTTATAATTCTCTGAACCTTGTGTACTTAATGGCTATCTTAATCTTACTTCTTCTGTTTTATTATCTATCTACCCACAGTTGGTTCTAAAGTTACCAAACTCTCTCAACTTGGATCCTCAATCATCCCATAAGGCCTGAAAGTCAGCAAGACTGAAGAAGGCCCTAGACAGTTCTACATCCAATTTTAGCTGTAAGTAGCCATATCAACTCAATGTCTATCTCCTAAATGACTTTAAGGTCTCAACTCTTGAAGGGAAGTTGGTATGTAGCTAGTTAAATACCATCAAATTCTAGCATGTTTCAAGTTATAATCAGCTGCTTGTAGAACTAGGACCTTCAACTGCTGGATTCAGAAGACCAATCACAGGAATGGTATCTGAGTTATATCTCTAGTCCTAAGATATGAAACCCTGAACTCCCCAGAAGGTCATAAAATTACTGTCCAGTTTCAAGCTTTGTGATAGCCTTGTTTCCTGGCTTTAGAATGGTCTAGTCAATCATCTAGGCAGGAAAATGTTCTTCAGAGAAAACGGTTAGTTCTATACTTTAAAACTATTATAAAGCTTACCTAAAGGGCAATTTCATATAGCCCATGATCTAGAGATGGGACAGAAACTCTTAGAAGTGAAACCCACAGTTACAGATACCTAAGTTTGGGCAATAGTGTCAAAATTAAAAAAAAAAAAATACAAAGAGAAAAGGATGGCCCATTCAGCAAATGGTGCTAGGAAAGTCAGATATTTCAAAATACAGTCATAGTCCTAGGTAGGAACATTCTAAAAAGGACTCCAGGAGCACAGGAAATAACTCCAAGAACTGTATGGAGGTTCATTGAGAGGTATAAGCTTTGGTTCTAGGAAATGTTGGTATGTTATTTTTTTTTACAATTTTTTAATAATAAAGCTTATAAATAAAAAAGACTAAAGTAGACCACTCTTATGACCAGTTAAATCATTTATGAATAAATACCAAAGGACTATGTATTCTACTTGGGCACAGGTGAACACTGCTGCCTTTTGCATAATAACAAGAAAATGAAAACAACCAACATTTCCATCAACCTAATGCCAATCAGGTACATATAAAATATGAAATTGTTTTTGGACTGGAAAAATTAATTTAGGAACCTTACAAAAATATGTATATGTCTTAAAATCATTATATGAAAAATGCTATATCAGATTCAGAAAAACAAATATTGAATGTTCTCCTTCAGATGTCGATGCTTTTTTATACATGTGTATTTCTGTGGTAGTAGGCATAGATACCAGTCGTGAAAGTAGAGAGGGGCCATTAGCGAGGGAAAGAAGGTTGAAGGAGAGGGGAAAGGTTGACACAGCACAGGTGGTGTAAAAGTGGAAAGGGAACTACTGGGGGTATCAGATACAAGTTAGGGGGTGGGAGAAAAATACCAAGGGAGGAGAGCGAATCAAAATAAAATGTGTATGAAATGACAAAAGAAAAAGAAATAAAATTCTCTTACGTGGTTCCTTCTGAAATACTTTAGGTGGTAAAATAATACATGTAAAAAGGGATATCCTTTGCTCTTCTCAAGGGGAGGAAGAAATCCTTTCTGAACCACAAATAGTATTATTTATGAAGAATGAAACAACACAAAAAATTCTCAAGCTGTTCCAAGAACAATCAAATAAACGAACCAAAAAAACAAAAAAAAAAATCATTCACTAGCAATGTCAGCACCCAAGCATCCAGGGCCATGACAAAGTGCCCTCTTTGGAAAGGACAGTCTAAGCCACATTTCTATGTCACTCCCTGTCATTCTGCCCAGGACTCCCCTAGACCTCGGAGTCACATATATGAATTTTTTAGGATGGCCTCAATTATTATTTAAAGATGTAATTTGTACCCCTTGCTTTGTTATTTTAGGTTTTTTTTCTTGTCAAGAAAGAAAATGCATTGATCACTCTATTAACCACACATCCAGGTTTCTCTGAAGCCAAATAACCATGCTAACTCTCCTGTCATTAGCACTTCAAAAGTCAGATCTGAAAATCTGGCACCTGAGTATCAACACTGGAACATTCCCCTTTTTTCACATTAGACATAAATCTTCTAGGGCCATGCTCAACAATGAGCTAAGTCTTCATCTATAATTTGACAAAGAGAGAGGACAAAAATGAGACACCTCATCCCTACTTTAATTTTGATTTACGCAGTGAGAGTTTGAAAGTACCTTGTGGGTCAGAAGTGTGTGCTTGGATCACTGCTGAAATGTGCATTTCCATACAAAGAGACAAAGGAGTTAGCTCTTACTCCCAAGCCTTTTACTACTTAAATAAAGTTATTGGCTGCCTAATGAATGTTAGCTGCAGTGCTCCCTGTGGTCAGCCTGGCTGTTGTTTAATGAATTGCTTAATGTGCTTGATTACTGTTACAATGTTGAATGAAGAAAAGGCAAGAGAGATTTGAAAGATTCACTGGAGGATATGATGAAAATGAATTGGATCAATAGGAACTTTTTGCTCATCTCTGAACAGCACATTATGGGCTGTATTGTTAGAGTTGGAGGATAATGCAATTTTGTGGCTTGTTGTCTTTTTATAATTCACATATATAAATCTCCTTCGACAGTGAGTTTTAGGGCTGGCCTTCCTGGAGTTATAAATGATCCCCAGACTCTAGCCCCGGTTACTCACATCGACAGATAAATTAATTAGGAAAACTTTTATGCCAATTACTTTATGCCCTTGGCTTTCATATGTTTCTGAAGAGCAGCAGCTAATTAAAGATATGATTCATAATTACTGGTCGATTGAGTAGTTGAGTAATGGAATCAGGAACTTTTCCAAAGAAAATTATCCATCACATCCTTACTAATTGTTACATAATACATAAGGATGTGGAATTCAAATACAGAATCACTTGCTCTGAAAGGTCCCGTCAATTCTTTAAAAATTTTATAATTATAAGCATGATAGGAATTCTTACAATACTGAAGCATATAAGTAAAGCTTTCATCCTTTCTTTTTAAGTGAATACTTTTACAAGTCTCAAATGATCTCAACGTTTAAAAAGGATCTTAAGGATTTTTTTTTAAACTTTTTTATAAGTGATGCCAAAGTACATTGTTCATTCTTCTAGTCCCACCTTTTACCCCTACTTAAGAGTAGGATTGCTAAAACCCAGTGTCTAGGAGTGGGAGGGGGGACTACTAAGGACCACCCACTGGCATGCATTGGATTAGGAAAGTTCCCAGGCTCAGAAAAGCTCTGAATGTTAATACTTGAGGAATACTGAAAGTCCCCCAAAGAGGCAGTTGTCAAAGTTTGTGTACATCTCAGATCTATCCTAGCTTAGGGTAATTGTGGGCCTTTGTTTAAGGGAAACACAGGAGCAGAAGGGAGGAGATAATCTCATACAGAGCAAATGTTTGTGAAGCAGGAGTGCCCAGCCATGAGCCGTGGCATGCCGTTTGGAGGCTGTCTCAGAAAATGCCCTTCTCCTTCTGTCTTCTTTAAGATGGTCTTTCCTTCCATCATCTTTGTTTCTGATCTCTGAATTCAGCCCTAAGGACAACTAGGGTAGCCTATAAAGGCATAAAACACAAGGTGCGCAAAGGAAGACTGAGCCAAGAGTAACATGGGTTGTGGGCCATTTCTCTCATCCAAGAGCTCAGTCTTCCTATAGGACCCCCAAGATCAGTTCCACCCACCACTCCCAAAGTGTCTGCCTAGACACACTGATTCAATAAGTAAAACACAAAAAAGAATGTTCTATTGTCTTCCTCCGGTTAAGAAACATTTGATGTCAAGCATGTTCAATGCTAGAGACTGTGCAGGATTCTGGTGAGAGAGACAGAAGTATAATCATCACATCAGTCTCTCCTAGTATCCCAACGCAGCAGGATGAGAAGCACTCCAATGGGAAACTGACAGGATTCAGGTAGAAAACAGGGGGAGCAGCATTCCGAGCTGTAGTAACTTCTACAGATCTGCTGGTGAAACAGATTAACTCAATCTGATGAGATTTTGGTTACTGAAAACAGCTTTGATTTTAGTTTGAATATTGTTGAAAACACATAAGCAGAAAGGCAGGTCATTTCATCATGAGGAGTTCAGTTGTGTTGAAAACTGAGGTCAGTCTAGGGAGGGGTCTAGGCTTGGTTCAATCTAGGGAAGAGACAGCAAGTTGCTCAAAAACAGAAGGCAAAGGTTCTGGCTAGTTTGAAGCCTCAGTCAACCAGAAGGTAGTTGTAAGCTAGAGAAAGAAGACAAGAAGATGTGATCTGAACCACATGACAGGTACTGAAGATGATCTTAAATTGTACTCTCACAAGGAAATAAGGTGCTGGCAGGCATCTGAACACATACTCTATGTGGGGATGTTCACATGTACTCTTTCTCAAAGAGGCAAGTATACAATATGCATTCAGCCTTAATTAGAACACTCAGGTTTTCCTTCCAGTGGGTCCTTGTTCTGCAAGTTGGTAAGAGTTCTTCAGGAGCAACAAGTCGGGGCCTCAGGCTCATTTAACTGAAATCTCCATCACAAAATTGCACTACTTAGAGAGTAAATATCTTGTGTCCCAAGGGCTACTTCTTGAACAGAAGTATCTCTGTCTTCAGACTAGAGATTTGACCAAGCAGCTCCAATTGTGTTTGGGTCGGTTTCAAAGCATTAGACCTTGGTGGCAAGAGCAGCCAGTATAAAATAGAAAAAAAGAGGAAAGCAATACATGTATGAATGTATATCACCACTTGTTAGGATTTCCCAATGTCAGCAAATATACGGGAGATCTGGAGAGACCAAGTGTGTGGGGCTTTTAGTTGTGGGTGTTTGGTTTTGCTTTGGATTTGTTTTTCTAAAGTCAGACCACCCCTTTCTTTTGGTGGCAATTTCAGAGGTTGCTCTGTTCGCAGTGCTGCCCAAGAGGGTCCAAGGGCACCTGGGTGCCCAGAAAGGCAAAGTCATCCACAACAAAGTCATAGTCAAACATAACATAAGTAGAACATAAAGTAGATAACCTAAGTTCTTGTACAACTTCTCAGTAGTCTGCAAAGAAAATGGAATTCCATGACAATGGAAATTTCAGCAACAGAACCAAGACACAAAGATTCCCACATTCTGGATAAAGCCTTTGAAAAAAATGTTAAAGTGATTCAACTAAAAATTGCTCCCTAACTTCTCTACAAACTAAACGATTGGGCTGAAAAAGAGAAACGTTGGTCAGTCTCCTGAATTAACACCCTTCTCTTCTCCTCCACCCCTTGAGCTGGTAAAAGCAGATGTCTAGCCACCTTACAGATGGAATTTGTGGCTCCTTCACTCTCCCCCATGTAAAGGAGAGAAGTTCCTACCAGACTGCTCTCAGGAGAACAGATCCCCAGCTCTCCAGAGCTCGAAATCAAGGACAGAATGGATGTGATGAGAGCGGAGTGGGAAGGGCCAATCTGTCAGCACGTAAGCCTGGGTCTTTCCGGCTCAGGGCCACGAACCAAACCTTATATGGAGGGTGCTGAGGAAAGCAGGACAGAAAGAAAGCCACAGTGTGGACATCTGCAGCCACCAGGTCTCTTCTCACTGTCCCAGCCGAGTCACCCATCAGGTACCTTTCAAGTTACTGACCTCCACCTGGGCCAGACGCTGAATCAAACAAGAGTGCGATGCTTGTCTCTCTGCCGTGCTTGTGAAGTCTCTGTGAACAATAAAATGACTGCAACAGAGAATATTTTATGACTGTTTTCAGGGGCATTTCTTCAAGAAAAATTAATGTCACATTTAGGTTTGGAAAAATTCTGTTTATGCATTTATTTTTTAAAATTAGCACTCTCTGTTGATGGGTCCTGAAAGCTCCTAAAGCATTTGCAAGGCTCGTGGCAGTGACCACTCTCAGGAGTAATGATATTCCATGACTCTGTGCCAGGAGGGTAAATCACAGAGGAAGTCATACTGACAGCGTAAGAACTGGAGTCATTAACTCTGGACCTGCAACCTGTGTCAAAAGGACCTGACTGCAGGGCAGAGCAGCAGAAGCCTTCTCCCTTCTAGGCACTCATCTCACCTGAGCTCTAAAGATAGTTCACCCTTTCCTTTGTCAGACGCCGAGATGCAAGTGTCTCCAGTATCCATTGGAATGACTGCTTAGCACTCTCTTCTCTAAATAGTGCGCTGACTCAGAAAGCCTTGTGTACATGGATATTTTGAGCCATACTCTCCCAGTGTGGAAACTCCTTAGGATTACATCAGGCTCTGGAGAAAGAATTAACTTCCAGGCCTGCAGAACAGCATCAAATACCTACTTTTAAATAACAAATAAATGAGTGATGAAAGCAGATTGTATACTCTCATCTTCCAAAATTTTATTCCCAACCTAACAGCCAAAATGGTACTCTTACACAAAGTCATGTATTGTTCAATTCTCCCAGTGCATTGATGTTGCTAGGAACATCACCAGGAATGCACTTAAAGGCTGTGAGGCACCACTGTTGCCCTTCAGTTTCTTTTTGATCCCATTTCCTACCGTCCCTCGCTCCCTCTCACCTCTCTCCTCACCTCACCTTCCTTTGGCCACACTTCCTTCTTCTGGTTCCTCAAACACCTACACATGGAGCCCTGCCCCAGGACCTCTGCAATGGCAAAGCCCTCTACTAGGAATGATCTTCTCTCATATCCATGTTGCTGGCTTCCTCACCTAATTTCATGTCTTAGTTCAAATAGCTTTTTAATGAAACTCACTGTGACTTAAATCACAGTTCACACTCAATCATCCTTGCTCAATTCTTTTTATCTTCTCCCAAACTTCCAGTTTTCTTTTTTTTTAATTTTGTAAAATTCATTTTACATACCAATCACAGATCTCCCTCTTATCCCTCCCCCTACCACCTACCCCCCCAATTCCTCATCCCCTCCTCCAACAGGGTAAGTTCTCCCATAGGGGGACAGCTAAGCCTGGTACACTCAGTTGAGGCAGGATCAAGCCCTTCCCCACTTTATCAGGGGTGAGCAAGTTATCTGACCAGAGGTAATGAGATCCAGAAAGCTGGGCTCAGGTATCAGGGATAGATTCTCATTTTCAAAAATGATTATTTGCTCTTCATAATCTGTCCCCCTCTATTCCCTATCATTAGATTATGAGTTATCTTGGGGAAAATATCCTTTGATTCAGGCCTATATTTTCACTGATGTACCCCAAGAATTTCGAACAATGCTTGACACTAAATGCTTTCTCAAAATCCAGTGAACACAGAAAAGGTCTCTTCAAAAAAGTAATTTGAGTAGTACTTGATTGTGTATATATTACTAAACTATAAAAAAAATGATATCATGAAATTTGCAGGCAAATGGATGGAACTAGAAAATATTATCCTGAGTGAGGTAACCCAGACTGGGAAAGACACACATGGAATGTACTCACTCATAAGTGGATACTAGATATAAAGCAAAGGATAATCAGACTACAACCCACAGCTCCAGAGAAGCTAGGGAACAAGGAGGACCCTAAGAGGGATGCATGGATCACTTTGGGAAGGAGAAACAGTTGAGACTCCATGAGTAAACTGGGGATTGGGGCAGGCAATAGAGGGTAGAGCATGAAGGATGAGAACATAAGGGAATGGGATGGTCTAGCTAGGTGAGGGATGGAGTGGGAGAGCAATGAAAGAGATCTTGACAGAAGGAGTCATTATGGGGTTAGGGAGAAACCTGGTGCTAGGGAAATTCCCAGGAATCCACAAAGACAACCCTAGATTAGACTACTTGAAATAGTGGAGAGGTGCCTGAACTAGCCCTACCCTGGTAATCAGATTAGTGAATACCCTAACTGTAATTACAGAGCCTTCATCCAGTAAATGATGGAAGTAGACACAGAGATCCACAGCCAAGCACTAGACTGAGTTTCAGGAGTCCAGTCAAAGAGAGGGAAGAGGGATTATAAGAGCAAGGCAGGGGAGGGGTCAAGATCATGATGGGGAAATCTACAGAGACTACTGAACAAAGCTTATAGGAACTCACAAACTTTAGACTGACAGCTGTGGAACCTGCATGTGACCAGACTAGGCTCTCTATATATGGGAGACAGTTGTGTACTTTGGTCTGTTTGAAGGGCTCCTGGCAGTGGGATCAGGATCCATCCCTGGTGCATGAGCTGGTTTTCTGTATCCCATTACCTATGGGAGGACACCATGCTCAGCCTTGATGCAGCAAGGAAGGGCTTGGTCCTGCCTGCCTCAACTGAATGTACCAGGCTTTGCTAACTCCCCATGGGAGCCCCTACCCTATTGGAGGAGGAGAGAGGGGGATATCGGGGGAGACTGGGGGGAGCAGGAAGAGAGAAGGGAGGGGGATCTGTGGTTAGTATGTAAAATGAATTTTAAAAAATTTACATAAAAACAAAATGAAAAAAATAATTTGAGGGCTGGAGAGATGATGACTCAGTGGTTAAGGTATAGGTACTACTCTTGCAGAGGATCTAAATTCCGTTGCCAGCATCTCTGCCAGGTGTTCCACAATCACCTGTAACCGCAGCTGCATGATATTCAACTCCTTCTGGCCTTTGCCAATACCTGCACTCATGTGAACATATAGCCCCATATGTGTGTGTGTGTATGTGTAAAGCCAATTTTTATTCTAATTATTTGCCTATCAACAAATAGTCTAAGTCCAAAGAATCAGAATTAGTCAGAAGTCCAGGCATATCTGTATCACACACACCTGGTTTCTCTGGGAAGTATTAATTTCTAGAGTAATTACTTAAATTAATATTAGTATCTTGATTATTAATAACTTTAGAAAACCATAATTGTTCAGCTATCATTCATTAATGATCACAAATCTCCCAGTTTATACCTTTTAATAGAGAAGTAAGGAGGTAAGATTAAAAGATACATTACAATTTTTTTTTTTTTTTTTTTTTTTTTTGGTTTTTCGAGACAGGGTTTCTCTGTGTAGCTTTGCGCCTTTTCCTGGAACTCACTTGGTAGCCCAGGCTGGCCTTGAACTCACAGAGATCCGCCTGGCTCTGCCTCCCGAGTGCTGGGATTAAAGGCGTGCGCCACCACCGCCCGGCTGCGCCACCACCGCCCGGCTGCGCCACCACCGCCCGGCACAATTTTAAAGTATATTTAAAGCTAGACTTTCCTTTACAAATATATTATTTAATTGGTCATATTAGTTTCCTTTGTAAGGTGCATGTGTTACTATGAAAATACTCTGACAATTTGTTCTCAGAGAACCTCTTATCCTTGTTTCTTTTATATCTGCTTGTTGGAAGCTCAAGGAGTCTATGAGGGTGAATAGTAAATAATAACCGAATCCTCAGCATGACTGTCAGGATCACAGAACAATAAACAGCCTCAGATATTTACCAATAGAGCTCCAGGCCATATAAAGTATGGTCCTGAATTTGGGCAGAGAGAGAAAGAGCACTATCAGCTTGAGTATTGGTTCAAAGCAAAATTGTAGGGCAGAACTTGGTTTAACTCATGATCAAATTGAGGTAGCTTTCTACTCACAATTCCATCTGCATCTATACTGTAGATCTTAGGACAACTCATGGAAGAAAGAGCTTGGATCAGTCAGATAGCTGTGTTTTAGAAAGCCAGCCATGATGAAGCACTACAGGGTATTTCTATGCAACGCCCCCACACCATACCCTGTCCCCACCATGAAGAACACAGGGTTGAACTTGGAGAGCTGTGCAGAAGGCAGAGTTGAACTTACCCAAAGTGTACTGTTCCTCTCGAGGTACAAGCAGAACAGTAAAGCTATAGCCAGAGAAGTTGAAAGACACAGGAAGAGAAGTACAAATTCCATTAGCTCAGGTCTTTCTCCCAAACTCACTGATCAAACGAATCAGCTCTCATTACTTGATGAGGAAACTATGAAAGATAAAACACAGGAAGGCTTATTCTTAGTTACCTGGAATTGTTAAAACATTGATTTGCCTAGTGTGTGAGAGATATAGAAAAAAAATGAACAACAACTTTAGCATGTTTTCTCATTTTCTTGTCTCTTTCAAACCAGCGGACAATAACTTGGCTGTTGAATCTGACTTAAAATAACTGAGTCTAAATAAAATGCTTTCAACAACCTTGTTGATACATGCATGTAACACTGTCCTCCTTCAGATTTCAAGTAACATATGTTTTCATCGCCATCTCTACCAACAAACCAATGCTCCTGAGCCATCTTTCTGCTTTTCTTGACTGCTTCAAAAAGCCTTACATTCTGTGAGTTTCAGATGAAATATCTCATTTGTTGTCATTGTAAGAGATCGTTTAATATTCTGTGGGCACATGCCATATGTTTTGAAGGAAGATGATAAGTACTGTTTTGTCACTTGTTCTTGGCAAAATGCAAAATGGAGTGAAAACAAAGATACTTTCCATACATGAAGCTTTAAGAAAATATTGGGGAAAATATTGCAAACTGAATTACAATGTGCAACTTGTGAGTTTTATTGGTTAAGGAGGATGTTCACAGTTGTCTTCTACTGCTTGACAATAGATAGCTCTTTGCACAGAGCCTTGGCAACCGTGGGGCTATGTCATATAATAATAAATCTAAGTTCTGCTCACTGTGTGAATGAGAACCTGTTTTTTTTTCCATATGTGATAAATTCATCATCAGTTGTCTTAAATAAAACAAACTTCATGGAGTGAATTATGACAACATGACTCAAATTTTCTGCTGTGAGATTAATGAATTAAATGCTTTAAAATAGTAGAGTTAATATTTTGGGAAATAATAAAGAGCAAAACTAAGTGATAGGCAATAACAATATCATAGTGATAGGAAATCAATGGGAAACACTGAGTTATCATGTACAGTAGATTGTTTACATTGTGACAATAAATGCATACAACTGTAAAGTACTCAGAATTTAAATTTTAAATATTTGACTTACTTATTTAAAAAAATCCCTAATATGTTGTTGGGATGAAACCAATGTATAATTAAAACATTTTGGAAATAGGACAGAGAGTATAAGTGCCCCGCATGTCTAGGCAATGCTGTAACTATATAGGACTTTAATGCTAGGACAGTAAGAACAAGTGCTGTCACTCAAAGGAAAATGTAGTCTGACCCTTAGAGGCCTAAGACCAACCTGAGTCATGTGGCTAATAATTGATAATATATCCAGCAGGCTACAAATTATATCCTTCAACAAGTTATAACATAAACCAATAAAATAAAATAATGAAAGGCTTTGACTCTGGATGAAGCCCTTATCTTGGGAAACTGTTACAAGTACCAAGGATGCCCAACCACCAAATACTTTAAGGTCCTGTGATTGATGCATTTATGGTTTTCCCCACAAATGGAGCACTGCTTGACTTCATGGAGGTGAAATATTTGCCCTCACTTTTGTAGCTTTGAAATGGATTAAGTCCAAGTAAATGTTCATCTCATTATGAAGTTGGCCTCAACTCATGAGAGACCATTCCTTAATTAAGATTATGTATTCCCAGAGAAGGTTTTGGGAAGGGAGAATTCTCTGAAACAAGTATTCAAGGCTTGAATGCTGGTTGAGCATATCTTGTTTTTGACTGAGCCCTGAAAGCACACACCTTCCTCTCTGGGAAAAGTTTATGTGGCACACTTTCAAGGGATGTGTGCTTACTATGTCAAGTTAATCTGCCAAAGGCAGATTTTGAGACCTTCCCAGAACTATATGGACCTCTCTGTTTTGGTTGTAGCAGGTGGTGCTATCGACATGCTGAGTTTTACAGCCTGGATGGCATTTCCATCATGGAGTCAGTTGTGCTAAGGTCTCAGGGCCTACTAACATTTGGGGGTCCTCTTACACTAAGGAAAAGTGCACTAATTTGTTGTCCAGTGCCAAAGGATCAGTCCTGAAAAATGTATATA